TGTATATCCAATGGTAAATTGCCTATATTGGCTGTAAATGGTGTTTTCCATCTATTATGTCAGTGGATAAATGTATGTTTAATAAAACTGAATGCCTTTTGATGCTTTTGTGCTTAAAGGCCTTAAAGGTCTGAACTGCTTGAACACCGATAAATGCTGCTTGCAGCTTTAATTTTTGTTGGTTTTATGTGGTTTCCTTAAATACAACTGTTCAGCAGCAGCTATTTCCTCTTTCTAAGCCCAGAAGTGTGAAAAGAATCCATTCAAGGAGGAACTGAATGTTTACCCATCTCTCACAGGAAATGATAGCAGCCGATGACTGTACAGACGCCATTTCAGAAGACAGAAAATCAGCAATCTCTTCACGTGTGACAGTAAGTTCGATCATCTTTTCATAGCTGTAATATCGATAGAGTATTTGCGTCTAAACAGCAGCCTGATGAACTCAAATGCGAATAACATTATATGATGAAGTTTAAGGTTACTTTTGTTATAGGCCTACTAACACGTCAACTGTAACACTGGTTAAAATGGTTAAACTAACACTTACTTTTTCCTTTAATAGGAGAATATTAGTTTAATGTCTAAATCTTCATCTGGCTTTAAATACGTATTATTTTTATTGTCTATATTATAATGTGTGTTCATGGGCATCAGTTTGGTTTGAAATGTGCTGGGGACAGAGGTGCATACGGAAGTGCATTTTGAGAAGTGCTGGGTAGAGAGGTAGGCTTAATGACGCATTTTTTTTTTGTTTTGAAAGACAATGTCCCGTAGCTTGCAAATGTAAAAATGTAAAATGTGATGATGTCCGACCCGTTTTATGAAGAAAGCCTTAAGTTTTCAAAAAGACACATGACCCACTTTTCTAATTTATATGTAGGCTAGTGATGGCGGTCAGAGGCAGGTAGGCAGCTGCTTGGGGCCCTCTTCCAGCGGTCGTAGTAGCCAACGAACCTAAAATAAAACAAAGCAAAAAAACAAGAAAAAGCCCCTTATCATCATTAACGCTTCAAAAGCATAGTAAATGTTATTAATATTCTTAAGAAATATGTTGATATGTTGAAGTAGTAGTTAAAAAGTCCAGTTCATGGTTATCTGTCCCTACACAGAACCCCCATACTTTCACAAAAAAAAGTACTAGGCAGTGCCAGCGCGAAACCGCAGAAGATTAACATGACAGGAGGGAAGTATGCAACGAAGCAAGATGAGTCTAAACTCGAAAATGAAGCGAAGTTACCCAAGCTGCTAAAAAAAGGAAAAAATATGCTGATATGTATTTGGTAACCCTGCCAAAAATGACAACGTTTTTTACGCCTACTGTTGCCGCCACAGAAGCAGTTGTGCAATGATGCTAGTTGAGAATGAGGCCTAGCCTACATCCTGTTTGACAGAAAGGGCGAAAGTAAATATGACATTTATTATATGGGTTTATCTAATGATTGTTTTTACTTCATGTAAATTAAAAGTTGTTAAATATTTTTGGAAAGCCTAATAATGTAAATAATTTTTGGCTTTCAATTACACTGTAATGTTGGATAATGTTTAAAATTAGGGGAAAAAATTATTTTATCCAGACATCAATAGCTCTATTAGTATCAGTGATACCCACCTTCATTCATAAAAATATGCCATTAAAGTATTTAAAATATACTGTCTCTATGTTGTCTCTACATTCATTTGTAGATTAACAGTGAAATTATTACATTATAAAATATATAAACTAATACAAACATATAAAAATGTTTGTTTGTAGAATGTTTAAAATGTCAATCTCATGTGCATGCCAATTGCAACCTCCCTCACTCACTCACTCACTTCAAAGTCAATTATTCATCTTGGCAATATTTGCAGTATGTGGGTGTTTGTGGGGGTTTACCCAAACTACTTGACTTGAAATGAATTTCCAGATGACATGCCACGTGACATTTCATTAGCTTGTAGACTAAGATATTACCAATCAATTATACCCATAAGTAGTTTATATTTTCCACAATTAACTCATAAAATAAGGTGCTTTTTGTCTCAACTTTGTCTCAACTGCAGTTTAATTTTTATTTTTTAATTAAATTTTATTTTCATTTGTGTCTAATGCTGGATAATTACGATGTTTAACCTGTTATCATAACACTGAACAACTAAACAGTGTGTTTCCTATAGGACTCTACCAGGGGTACATACACGTGTCTCAACTTACCCCGCTGGCCACCTCACACATTTCTCTAGATTTTGCAATGACCTTGTATGATACAATATCATGAAATATGCCAGTTTTTAGGGCACAGAATAACATTTATGATGAGACCAATTACGTTTAACAGTCACATAAGGATAATAAGCTATTCATTGTGAAGTGTGCATGGTGAAGTGAAAGTCTTCTTTTGCCGATGTCTTCGGATCGGAGATGCGTCCATTGTTCAAATTTCCCACGATCAAAGAGAACACTAATATGCATGTGAACATCAAAAATCACAACTTGTGCTGGCTGCACACGCAAGTTATTTAAGGTGTCTCAACTGTCTCAAAATGTTGACAAGAGATGACATGGTTTATGTACCTAAACAAAGATCACCAAATTTCTCTCTCATATTGCTCCCCATAAACACTAAAAACTGTCAAAGAAATTTAACCCAAAGTCCAATTATTAAGGATGTTATGATAATAATAATAATTCATTACATTTATATAGCGCCTTTCTGGACACTCAAAGCACTTCACATAGAGGGGGGGTGTAACGATGATCGGCTGGATTGCCCTCGAATGCCATGAGAGGGCACTCCACTTCTGAACTGCTTTTCCCTGAACTGATAACGCACACACCTGTTTCCATTGATCACTCTCACACCTGCATCTAGTTCCACACGCAGCTCCACACACATTTATATCTCACTGTCTCTATCACTCTTGGCGAAGTCTTGAATGAAGGTATGATTCACTGTTGTGTTCAACTCCTAGCGTCTCCTAGTCTGTAATCCAGTCTGATATCTAGTCTTGATTCCAAGTCTGCTTTTGAGCGTTTCCTAGTTTGATTGCCCGTCCGTGTTTATGACCCTTGCTGAATCCTCTTCTCCTCGATTGTCTGCTGCCTGCCCATTGACCTTCTGCCTGTTCCCTGGATCTTGTGTCGTCTGCTACCTGCCTCTGTTCTCCTGCCTGGTATTTGGATTGTGATTTAGCCTTGTCTCCTATGCTGTATCTGCTGTGTGTGACCCTTGCCTGTCTGACTATCCTGTAAATAAACCTACGCTGCGTTTGGATCTACCTGTGCCTGATTGTTCATGACAGGGGGAATCTCCTCAACCACCACCAATGTGCAGCATCCACCTGGATGATGCGACGGCAGCCATATTGCGCCAGAACGCTCACCACACACCAGATTACTGGTGGAGAGGAGACAGAGTGATGAAGCCAATTGGTAATATGGGGATGATTAGGAGGCCATGATGGACAGAGGCCACTGGACAAATTTGGCCAGGATGCCGGGGTTACACCCCTACTCTTTCGAAAGACATCCTGGGATTTTTAATGACCACAGAGAGTCAGGACCTCGGTTTAACGTCTCATCCGAAGGACGGTGCTCTTTGACAGTATAGTGTCCCCATTACTATACTGGGGCATTAGGACCCACACAGACCACTGGGTGAGCGCCCCCTGTTGGCCTCACTAACACCTCTTCCAGCAGCAACTTGGCTTTCTCAGAAGGTCTCCCATCCAGGTACTAACCAGGCTCAGCCCTGCTTAGCTTCAGTAGGCAACCAGTCTTGGGCTACAGGGTGATATGGCTGTTATCTCATCTGACATTAAGCGTTTCTGCTTCATTGAGGCTATTGTAGGAAAAAGCTGAACGGTTGAACTTTACCTAAACGACGATCATTGATCAACAAATTCCCGGTTCGATTTTTTTTTTTTTTTTTTTTTTTTTTTTTTATATATATATATAGATTTAAGTGGTTATGATGAGCAATATGAGAAAGAAAATTGGTGATCGTTGCAGGTACATTAAACCACGTAAAGCTCTTTCACGTTAAGTGTTTTAGAGTGTCCCAAGGAAAATAGGCCAGGCCTACCATAGGCTATGCGTTGAAGTGGGAAAATGTGTTGCTAGGCCTTTTTGCTAATATTTTGATTGAATTCCCTGAACAATTGACCATATCTACACACAACACACTTCTGCACAACACATTTAGCCAAGATTGAAAAAGCAAAAATATGTGTCACACAGATGAACGCTATTTGATGATTGACATTACCCAATCATGTGTGATTCCCACTCGGGGGATTCCAATCAAAGTAATAAGTTCCATTTGGTGTGTCAACCTCCCCTTTCCCCAATCTAGAACATATCCCAGTGTTACAATTGTTGAAGTGTAATGAACAGAGACGTGAGTAACCAGCGCAGCAGCAGAACAGCTAAATTGAGCTCGAGGTTTTCAAAAAAATTGTGTTGGGTTCAAAATGACTCCCCATCCCCACCATAATCGACGCCTGTGTGTGTGTTGAGTGACTCAGTAATACTGGGGAAAGAAAGTGTGGTTAATAGGATAAACCTAATATATTAGCTTAAGGCAAGATGAAAAAACGGATTGTGAAAAACACCTGCAAAAGTTCAGCAGTGTCATTAAAAGTGAAGGTGAATCCTCTGTTTAAACGAAGCTGCTGTGTTTGAAAGTGTGGCCGATGTGTCGATGTGACATGTTGCTCTACAAACAAACACTTAACTGGAGAAAAACTTGACGTTAAATTAAAACGAGTTAAATGCCATAAATAAAATGTGTCTAAATTCTAATTGTGTTTTGTGCATGTCCTCTGTGTCCACATACAGGCTTTTAAGTAAAGTGTCACATCAAGGAGGAAGAGGAGGAGAACCATACCTGTAAAATGAGTGTGTGTGAGGAGAGAGAGGAGGAGGCGTCTGTTCACACTCAGAGAGCAGCATCTCCAGTATTCAGCTGTGTGTCCATCAAGAGTAACATCTCCATGGGTAATCCCCCTGATGATGGACAATCTCCAGGATTCATCTGTGTGTCTATGAGGAGTAATATTTCCATGGGTAATCCCCCTGATCTCAGTGATGGACAATCTCCAGGATTCAGCTGTGTGTCTATGAGGAGTAATATTTCCATGGGTAATCCCCCTGATCTCAGTGATGGACCTGCTGTGACAAATTACCCTGCGTGAGTATCATGAAGTTCAAGTCAAGATTGTTAATAACACGCATACAGACAGAAACAAGTGTGTGTGTATGGTTGCACAAATAGTTGTTAAAATAATGGGCAAAAAGGCTGTATAAAATGTACTTCAAAACTAAAACATATTTATAGATTATAGTCTTGGGAATCCAGATAACTATACTCACCTGGCGACCATTTTCTTGAACATAGACTGGAAAAACACATATCCAAACTTAACTGGTCAAATTTGTTTCAAACTATCAATATGCTCTGGGAGTTTTAGGCGCAGTAGCCAATATGGCCGCTAGGTGACATTGATATTCCATTTGGTGATTTAAATCCTTTAAGGGTTTTCATTGGTGAATGCTTTGGACTACTGTTTTCTTTTGATATAAGATACCAAGGATTTTATTGCTGAAGTGAAAGCAATCAACAGCTAAAGTAAAAAAAATAAAGTTTTAAACTGGTCTTGCATTAAATGTAAATAAAAGGAAAAAGTTCCCACTAGTGGTCTGTTCCAGTTAAAATATTCTAAAGTTGCTCCTCAAAATATCACAAACATCAATGACTCACACAAATTGTAGTTATGATTCTTACTCCTAAATAAAAAAATAACTATAACTGAAAAAAAGAAACAATATTGAAAGTCAGACTCAGCTCATAAAATTAATTGACTAATTCAGTGTAAAAGTAAATGTAAATTCATTAACACTATTTTACATTAATTAATATATTTAATGCTCTGCTTGTAATTATAATTTAGAAATTATACTTTGTGTGCAGAGGGTTTATAGAATGTTTCTAAATATATTACTAGGGCTGCTTGCTTAAGGCAAAAATCATTATAATTAAATTTTTGTAATATAATGGTTTCATCATAAATATGGTGATTATCTCAAAGGTGGGCACCCAACTTAATATGATATTTACCATTTGAATCAAACCATGTCATGTCAACAAATGGAAAAGTAAGCCAGCTGTTGATTATCATGTTAAAGGTGGGGTAGGTAGAAATTTTCAAAAAAAAAACACTTTCCCAAATTTGCTTAAACTGTCTATAAATACCAATACATAATTAAGATGTATGTACTCTGAAAAATAAAGTATACAAATTGAGTATCTGTAGTCCTCTCAGTGCTGCAAAAATCACAGCTCATTATTTCACTCACATCCCGTCTGGGATCCTTACAAAGCCACTCCCTCAAAACACATGAACGCGCGCTGCCGACCGCGCTCTGCTGGAGGACGCATTTACCAGCGTCGTGGAGAGGAGCAGTGCATGTTGTGACATCATGTCAGAATCACATGTAATAAAATGCTTAACTTTATCATTATTAATATAAACAACTAACATATCTGGTAGTACTATCAAGCTAGCCTATCGATACTGGTAATGGTAAAGTTCAAAATATATTGTGTTTGATTCGGTAACGAGCTAGTAACATAAAAGCTAAAAACAGCAAAACTAAAAACAGGATGCATTGATGCACGTTTTCCAAGAGTTTAAACGAAACTGTTGGCGTTACTTTTCAGCCCCTGGTTGTCAGTTGTCGCCACGGCTGGAAAGCCCCACCGATGTTGACTCTCGTCTGACTTCTTGCTTTATCTATGACTGTCGCGGTAACCGCAATATTGTAGTGCCGCGCTACTGACCTTAGGGCTGGGTACCGAGTTAGGGACTTTTTAGGTACCGACCGAATTGTCTCGGTACTACCGAATATCGAAGGTACCAAATTTCGGTACTTAAGTGGTTAATCTCGTCAACGTCAGTGAAACAATAAGTATGCAGCATGATTGGCTGTGGAGGAAAACACTTGTTTATGCAGCTGCCCGGAGACGTAGCTGGTCGCACGTACAGCTGTAGTGTGTGTTCGTGTAAGCGTCCCAACCCAGATAGATAGAAAATATGTGGAAATGATCTAAAGTGTACGTGCCAGACTCGATGCCAGAAGCAGGCGATGCAATATTTTCGACAAGATAATTGCCGCCCAGACCGGTAACATTTTCCATTTTCGACTGCAAGAACTGGAGCGCGTCACAAATGAAACAGAAACTCAGCATAGGATACTTGCCTCATAGTGATGAAAAATAGGCCTATAGACGGTCAAAATATGTCTACTTTTAAACTAAACAATTAGAAATAAATAGTTTGATTAACTAATCCATAAAGGCGTGCGCATTCACTGCTGCAGGAATGACGAGTCAACATCGCCAAAATCATATTTGCTGCCAGCACACTTATTAAACACTTGTTCATTAATAAACAATTAAAATATATCCTTGCTGTTGTTTTCCAACACATCCATAATCATTAGGCTACTGTTGCCAGTGCTTTGCGGCAAGCTTCATGTGTGCTGAGCGCGAGGCATAAATCCCGCCCCCCAGTAGCCTATATTTAATTTAATTCACATTTATTTGTATAGCATTTTTCACAATACATATCGTTTCAAAGGTGCTTTGCAGAAAATGCATGTTTCTAAATTACAATTTAGAGTGATCTGTTATCAGAGGTGACAGTGTAATGCATTTCAATTAATTTTCATTCAGTTTCATTGTTAAACAGTGAAGAATACATGTTAAATAATTGGGAAACAGTAAACTTTAGGATTGGTGCTTTTTTTTTTACATATAATTTAGGTAATATTATATTGTTAAAACTGGTTACATAAAATTGGTATCGAAAAAGGTATCGTTCAGGAACCGGTATCGAAGTCAAGGTATTGGTATCATATCGAAAATTTTGTTACGATACCCAGCCCTAATTGACATGTCAACTAGGGGTGGCCATTGGATTAAATTTACTTAGCTGATCGTCGGGAGAATTAACGATCGACTATCGATTAATCATTAATATTTTTATATTCAAATTCATTATTTATTTAACTTTTTATAAATTAAAAATGCAATGAAAATACAAAAATACAGCGTGTTTATCCTCGATTAGATCTTTATTACAAGATGATCAACTTGTGGAAGTTAAACTGGACATCCGGTTAGGTTAAACTTGAATATATACGCTGCGGTGCTTTAAAGCAACCTGCAGATGCGAGTTGGCGTTCTTAAACAGAGACCCTTGTTAGTTCCAAAATAATAAATAATAATAAAAAATCATGTTAAACAATAATAATCAAAAACATAATAATACTTAGATCTGACAGGTTTTGTCAAAATGTAACTCAAAACTGTCCAAGGCATGGAGTCGAGAAAGAGCATTAGAGAGATTAGCCTACCTAACAAACAATTTGGCTAGGCTACTTTAAAAAGGCTTATAAAAAATAACTAGTAACTCACATACAACTTCTGCACCAGTCTACTGATTTTTGTTGAGAAAGAGAAGCATGTTGATGATGACATGATCTGGGGTCAGACGTGACTGCAACCTGGTGACTGCCTATGCCACACGCACCTTCACACTTGAGTGGACGCGTGGGTGTAAACAAGGCTTCAGTCCAGCCGCCGAAAACACCCTCTCTGAGGGGACTGACGTTGCCGGGATGCAGGTACCTCCGCGCCAACATGGCCAGCCCGGGGAACCTTATTCCGTTCACTTTCCGTTCACACTACGCAACGCGGCAGCATTAGTTTAAAGGGTTAGTTCACCCAAAAATGAAAATTAAGTCATTAATTACTCACCCCCATGCTGTACCAACCCCTTAAGGGACACAAATTAAGATATTTTTGATTAAATTTGAGAGCTGTATAACCACCACATTGGCTGCCCAAGGGACTGGCTCTTGACGGCCCAGAAAGTCAATGAAGAAAATGTTTAAATATTCCATGTGACTACAGTCACATGGAATACGGGGTCTTACGGGGTTGGTACAGCATGGGGGTGAGTAATTAATGACTTAATTTTCATTTTTGGGTGAACTAACCCTTTAATGATAATCGATAACAAATTAACGTGATCGACTAAATTCTTAATGATCAATAATCGATTGTCGATTAATCGTGCCCATCCCTAATGTCAACTGCAGATGATTGCAAGTAACCGATATTCATATTTTTTTTTTATAAGGCTATACCCTTTTTGTTTTGAACTTCATGCATGTGTATTGAATGTTAAACAAGTTCATAATGATAAAAATACTGTTTATCATGGTGAGGTGTACAGGAACTACAGAGGCTTCACACAGACAGTGAATGAGAGAGATCGACTGAGTGCGTGTGCAATTACCGGCGTCTGTCTTTGAAGTCATATATATTCGTGGAAAAGTTGCTGTGACGAAGGAAAGCGGAAAATTTGTTGTATCATCCTTTTAACGTTCACGTCACGGAAATGCGCGTCAGCAGCAGCACTGGTCAGCACTCCACAGCGCGAGGAAGCCGCTGGGAAACGCACGCATTGGGTCACGCATTGTGGGTCACGCATTGAATCAATGCCATTTTCGTCTCTAATAAGTGAAGCTTCAGCGTTGCCCATGCGATGCATTGCTGCTCAGCTGAGCCTTGAAAAGTGGAACTCAAAGTTAAAAATAATTAACACCTTGTTTCATTACATCTCTTTTCAGCTTTTTTGAACGTGTTCGTTAAATGAACGGTTTAATGACTCACTCAAAGTCCGTTGTCATAACAATGTGCGCGCTGAGTGAAAGCCTTTCAATGTGCATTTAGACGCCGTTTAGTTTCGGTTACATTGGTTACTGAAAATGTCCTCGTTTTAGTCCGTGCTGGCCACATCGTAAAATGTATTTATATAGAAACAAATACATACAAATTAAATTAATTAATAAATGGCGGTAATACCGCATATCGCGCTATTGAGCCAGGGAAATTCCATAACCGCGACAGCCCTAGCTTTATCCAAAGACTTTTTGGTCAGAGCCTTTTCAAATACTGTCTTCCTTTTTTGCCTGGTTTTCCTTCGCTGACTGTATATGCAGGTAACAGGGAATTTTGACTGCTCTTTGTCTGCCCTAATTGTGATTCTTCCTAGCTTCCATGCCTCTTCCACTATTCGAGCAAACGTGTGTGCACATGTGGGCTGCTCTTAGGCCGGATTCACATATAGCGCCTGAAAACGCGTAGAAAACGCTGGGCGTGCTGCATTCTCCATTTTCCAAAGCGCCAGGGCGGTTGCGCTTCAGTTGGTTCTTGTCACATGACCTATTGTGTGCGTATGGTGCGCTTGCGGTATTCTGAAAAGTTGAGATGTTTTTATCTCGACGCCGCGTGGACGCGCATGGAAAAAACTAGCACGTTGCACCGCATCGCTTCCATTATGAGCGCGCATACCGCGCGCCTACATTTGAAATAATGAACTTGAGCGTGCAAAAGACACGATATGTGAACCGGCCCTTACGCAGCAGTGCTGGTAGCTATGGCAGCGAGGGAGAGTGACAGTTGCCCAGCCAATCGTTTCTTTCATCCCGGTTGGAAATAATGAGCTGTGTTTATTGCAGCACTGAGAGGACTACAGACACTCGATTTGTATACTTTCTTTTTCAGAGTGGTTACATTTTAATTATGTATTGTTATTTATGTAAAGTTTAAACAAATTTGGGAAAAAGTTTTTTCCACCTACCCCACCTTTAATTATTGTGCCTTTAGCTTCAACAGCAAACTTTACATATTCTTCAGAATAACTGTTGATTTAATTATTATCCGTCATCTGTCGCCATTTACAAGAAAATCAATTACATGTAATCATTCACATGAACACTGCTTTTTCTTCATGTCTGTGTTTCTGTGATATTTTAAAATAATGGTTTCTGGTAAAACTTTCTCAAGAATTTTAGCCGCCTTTATCTTTTTCCGAACATTTTGACTTCTGAAATATTGATGTCTCATTACTTTTGATATGCAGGTCATTATCATTATCTCAAATGCCTGATGTTCATAATTTATTTACAGTTTGTTGGAAACATGGGTAATCAATATCAGTGTGAGAACAGAACCTTGAGGATCTACATGTGTGATATTAGGAAGTCAGTTGGTCACAATAAATAGAAATCTGTGGTAAAGGATAAAACACCTTTTTCTACATATCAGACATAAGCCCCTTTCACACAGAGATTCCAGAAAATACACGGATAATGTGACCCAGCATTTGTCCCGGAATTGTCTGATTTCGGTTCATTCACACTGCCAGTGATTTGCCGGGATCTGTGTGTGCGTTCACACACAACCTGTAAAAATCCCGGGAAGACACATGACGTCAGGATGAGACGTATAACGGACGCGTCGAAAACATGTAAACGCGCATACCGTACACGCACTGGTGAACGATCTCAGCTTCAGTACGGATAGTGAGGAGCTCCTGGTCTCTGCTTCGCTCCAGTTTGCAGTAGGGGTGTCCATGGTTAACCGATTAGCAGTAACCGTTTAAAATTGCATAAAATTAAAACCTTTTTGCTCGGTTAAGTGGCGTCAATACATATTTGCACAAAACTTTTGCGGTTTTTTTTTTTTTGATTGTCGATAAAAAAATATTGTGAAATGACAGCGTTTCTATTAAAGGTGTTATGCGACTAAAAAATTTTTTTTCCTTTCGCGATAAGCCATTCCAAAAATAATGGCAACGGACGTTGGTATATCACAGTCATCGCACTAGACATTATTATTATTTATGGAAGGAGACGTGGTGTGTCATCCAAGCATTAATGGCAGGGAAAGTCGCAGAGTTTCTGTGTGTTTCTCCCTCATTTCTGCTCCGCGGTCTTGATTGTGGCATTTCTTTGAGGTTTTGTCTAGTAGGCTATTCCTTGTATCTTTTATGAATTTTAAAAAAATAACTCTGCCTCGTATATGTCCAAACGGTCAGTGTACTGTTGTGTTCATTCGTTTCCCCTTATTTAATCCTTAGGCCTAATTGCAAAACAAAAAATGAACGGTTGTTGTATTTTGTAAAACGCAGAGTTTAACACCAAAATGTTCATTTGAACTGTAGGACTAGGTCAAATGCTGCGCAAAAATATATAGGCTATATATCGACGAATTTTCAGATATTTTTTTTATTTTTTTGCCCCTTTAAACATTTAAAATATTTGACAAATGAATATGGAAAAAAAAAAAAGATTTTACTGGTTTTCTGAGGCCAAATTAGAACCTGGAAATTATATTTCCCCCGCAGTGCTGAATGAGAAGAGCCGTAACCACAGCCTACAGAAAGGGGATTTATAGATGATTTATAAGATATAATAAATGTGTCTGATAATAAAATAATATAAAATAACGAGGCATTAATTGTTTATTAATAAACTATTGTTTTCTAAATCAGTTTCTTCTAAAAACAAATCTCCATCCCCGGATGCACTTTTAGAGAGAAATACATAATTAGCTAAGCTACATAATTACATAGTCAGGAGATATTGGCTTTTGATTCGAATTTGTTCGTTTTAACTTGGACATTTAAAGCTTTAGGCTTTAAATGTCTAATTTAAAACGAACAAATTCGAATGCCGTGGCTGTTTCAGTTCTCGCGCTTCAGTTCACGGAGATCATCAAGCGCGCCTGTTTGTTAAAGCACAACGTTTTCTTGTTATTGTGAGTTTACGCAAATAAATGTATTTGCGAATAATGTATTATTATTTTTTGTATGACCAGAAATGAAAGAGTATTTTAAGTTATTTCCACTGAAAGAACTGCAATGAAACTGCAAGTGTTCACATGGGCGTCTTGCAGCCTCCACACTAAGCACACACACTGGATAGGCGTAAAAATATTGTGTTTATTTGTGCTTTGCTCCTTTTTTGGATAAAAGCGTCTTCTACATGCAGCCTATAAAATGTTACAATAATGATAATTATTATTATTTGCGGACACTGAGTTTTTGTGAAATGGACGTGTTGCCAATGTGCGTATTTTCAATTGTTAATTTTAGTTTGAAGGGTGATGGAAACGCGCCTACTTGAACTGCTCTGAACTTACCACTGCGTTTTATTTCTATAAATTAATTTCGTTTCAAATGGGGTCCAACCAGTTATTAAAGGTGTTAAAAATTAACTCTGTATCTCGATTTTGCGGTGCGCACACTATAGGTTAACCGAGTATTAACCGAAAGGGCCTCGGTTAACGGTTAATGAAAAACTTGAAAACGTGCAGCCCTAGTTTGCAGGTATTTGTTTGTCCTTTCTTTGTTAATGACGAATACAAACTTTCTTCTAAGAGCAACAGAGTCGCGCGATGGCACGAGCGTCATCACTAAAGACACACCCTTTACGGCATTGGTCCTGGCTTTTGTTCACACAGCGCGCGTTCCGGGACTGATTACGGCAATGTTACTAGGTCCCCAACCCGGGATCAATCCCAGAAGCAATCCCAGGTCGTGTTTGCGTTCACACAGAAGGCGTTCTGGCAATTTGCCGGCAATTTCCTGGGATCAACTCGCTGTGTGAAAGGGGCTATATTTAAATATTTTTATTTTAACAAAAATGTTTGCGTCTCTTCACCTTAATGTGTTTTCAGTGGTGGGAGAGCTGACCAGATCAGAGATCCAGTGTCCTGTCAGAAACACATCAGTCATCATGACACAGAAGCAGCCCTGCAGCTTGATTCTCACCAGCCAGTGCATGATGATCTGCAGAGAGTCAAAGACCAGCACAAAACCAGCATGAAGAACAGATATGAGAGCTTATTTGAGGGAATCAAACTACAAGAGAATCAGACTCTCCTGAACAGGATTTACACACAGATGTACATCATAGAGGGAGAGAGTGAAGGAGTGAATGAAGAACATGAGGTGCGACAGATGGAGAAAGGTTACAAGACCCTCCAAGACACTCCAATCCACTGCAATGACATCTTTGATCCTTCACCTGAACCAGGATATGAGGAGAAGAGAAGAGAGAAGAAAGACAAAATCAAGACTGTTCTTACTAAAGGCATCGCTGGAATCGGGAAAACCGTCTCTGTGCAGAAGTTCATTCTGGACTGGGCCGAGGGAAAAGCCAATCAGGATGTAGATTTCATGTTTGTGCTTCCATTTAGAGAGCTGAACTTGATTAAAGATCATCAGTACAGTCTTCACAGACTTCTGCTGGACTTTCATCCTGAACTTCGAGATCTGGACTCAGAGATGTATGATGAATGTACAGTTGTGTTCATCTTTGATGGTCTGGATGAAAGCAGATTGACACTGATGTTTTCAGACAGTGAGAAAGTTTCAGATGTGACTGTGTCTTCATCTGTGGGTGTGTTGATGTCAAACCTCATGAAAGGAGATCTGCTTCCCTCAGCTCTCATCTGGATCACCACCAGACCAGCAGCAGCCAATCAGATCCCCTCCAAATACATCAACCGTGTGACAGAAATTCAGGGATTCAATGAGCCTCAGAAGGAGGAATATTTCAGGAAGAGAATCAGTGATGAGGATCAAGCCAGCAGAATCATCTCTCACATCAGAAGAGCAAGAAGCCTCCACATCATGTGTCACATACCCGTCTTCTGCTGGATCTCAGCCACTGTGCTTCAAAACATCCTGAAACAAGATCTCAGTGCAGAAATCCCTCAAACTCTGACTGAAATGTACATACACTTCCTCCTCATTCAAACTCATATGAGGAACCAGAAGTATGAAGAGAGAGATCCAGAGAAACTCCTGCAGTCCAACAGAGACGTGATTGTGAAACTTGCTGAACTGGCTTTCAATCAGCTGATGAAGGGCAATGTGATGTTCTATGAGGAGGACCTGATTGAGAGCGGCATTGACGTCACTGACGCCTCAGTGTATTCTGGGATTTGCACTGAGATCTTTAGGGAGGAATCTGTGATTCATCACAGGAAGGTCTACAGCTTTGTACATCTCAGCTTTCAGGAGTTTTTTGCAGCACTGTATGTGTTTTTCTGTTATTTACACAAGAACAGTCTGTTAATGTTCCTGTCAGGACATGTTTCTCTGGATGTGTTTCTGAAGGGAGCAGTGAATAAAGCCTTGAGAAGTAAAAATGGACACCTGGATCTTTTCCTTCGATTCCTTCATGGCATCTCACTGGAGTCCAATCAGAGACTCTTACAGGATGTGCTGATTCACACAGAGAACAACCCAGAGAGCATCAAGAAAATAATCCAAAACCTTAAAAATACACTGAACACAGAAGACAATGTCAGTCCTGAAAGATGGATGAATTTGACACAATGCTTGATTGAGATGAAGGATAGTTCTCTTGTTGAAGAAATGCAGACATTTTTACAATCTGAAACAAATAACAAAAACCTTACTCTTGCACAATGTTCAACTTTGGCAAACATGATCCTGATGTCAGAGGAGGTGATGGATGAGTTTGACCTTAAAAAGTTTAACATCAGACCATCAAAGGACAGTCTAAGGAGACTGTTACCTGCTCTGAGGAACTGCAGAAAAGCTCTGTGAGTGTGAAAATATGATTTGAAATATGAACATTATACCTCTCATGTAGGCTAATAGTTTAGCTAAATGCGCTGTAATGGCTTTTTCATTTACACAAATTTGAAGTGTCTACAGATTAAAATATTTAAATTAATTATTTAATTTTTTTAATTATAATTGAAATCTGCAGTCTTTTCAACCAATGAATTTGAAGACTTTTCCATAGTTCATAATTAACTGGATAAGGATTAAGCACTTTAAGAAAAATATATAAATTTTCCTGTTAAAGTCACACTTTTAAAAGTTGCAGTGAGGATGTATTAAAATAGCAAATATCTTGATTTAGGTCAGTCGTTCCCAACCCTGGTCCTGGAGTATCCCAGCTCTGTCCATTTTTGATGTCTCTCTTATCTAACACATTAGAGGTCTTGGAGTCTTTACTAACTAGCTGATGAGTTGAATTTGAAAATGTGCAGTGCTATGGGAGACAGAGACAGTTTATGGCCAGTCCTGCTCCTGGAGTACCCACTCCTGGCCAGAAACTGTCTCTGAGCCTAATAGTCTGGGCCTTAATGCTGTGGTACTGTAACCATGATAAGAGCACTGAAAACGTTATTTGGCTTGGATGCTTTTTATAACGTGACATACTGTCTTTCCACGCGATTCTAAAGACCTCTAAATTAGTTTGTTTCCATTTACGCTTTTAGATGTGATGATGTCACTGATCATTACATGGTGACTTGTATAATACGCACTGCTGAAATTTGTCATGTTGCGCCACGTTATAGACCAGGCCGAACAATCCTTCCAACCACTATAGATAGATTCTCAGATAGCTTACCTGATCTATCTAAGTGTTGCGAGTTTCTCTCTTGATAGCGTAGCACTGTTGTACCAAGGTGCTTTAGTTTCCTCTCAAACCTTTTTTAATCTAATTGGTGCAACAATATCTAATGTACTAGTAAAAATGGTGCTTAAACTGCTAGTCATTTCCTCTAATTCATCTGTTTGTTTGGGTTCACTGAGCAGCTGAGATAGATCAGGTAAGCTATTTGAGAATCCATCTATAGTGGTTGGAAGGATTGTTCTGCCTGGTCGATAACGTGGCGCAACATGACAAATTTCAGCAGTACATATTAGGCCAACCTTAAAAATATTTTGGTTTGCAGTAACAGCAATTTTTTTTTTTTAAAAAAAGGTTCGGTAGGTAGGTCTATATATATTTTGTTCTAGATTCAGTGAAAAAAAAAAGTACAATTTTGGTCATGATCATGGTGATCATGAATTTAAAAAAAAAAAAAAAGCATATTGTGACGTCACCGACACTGACTGGGTCTTCAAACTGTGCATCCACCGCTAGGTGTTAATTCAACCTACAACCGGTTACATTTTAGGCCAGTCACAAAATGTATAAAATATCTATTTGTTATGCATACATGAGATATAAGCAAAAACAAGTACAAAACACATGGTCAAACAAAGAATATAACAAAGATACAAATTAGCCTATATACACACAGTGCTTTAATCGTCTGGCTCAATCGTCACATGTTCATTAGATTACTGCCCCTTTAAGACCGAATGCAGAACTCTACTGTAATAGATGACTGATGCACCATCATTTTTTCCCAACTATTTACGTCCAATTAAGACATAAACTGTGTTTAAATGAATCTCAGAGCAGGTCATTTTTATATTTTATGTATATTTGATAGTTTAGATGCGCACATGAAGCTCAAATGAGGCTATAGCCTACTTTTCTTGTCTCGTTTTAGTGCATTTCGGCGCGCGCGTCGCCTTGTGAACAGCAAGCGCTTGCGCAGACTTTTGTGCTTTTAATAACTCTTGATGATTGAACGCGTCCGCAGTTTAACAACAGTACAGACTGCATTTTACAACAATCACCGATCGTGCTGATTCTGACGGTACGTTTGGGTTTTAGGAAGAAATGACAGCGCAACGCTGTGAAGGGAAGGAAGTTGCGCTAGACAGAATGCGTCTGTAAATGGTCTCTCTTCTGGACTGCAAACAAGAATATTTTTAAGGGTGGCCTTATGCAAGTCACCATGTTATGATCAGTGACATCATCGCTTTGCGGTATAATATCTATAACATTTGGAATGGTTCCATATGATATAATTAAATCTAGTGTATGATTTAGACGGTGAGTGGGACCACTGACGTTTTGTTTGACCCCAAACGAGTTTAATAAATCTGTAAACGCAGCCCCTAAAGCATCATTTGTATTATCTACGTGTATGTTAAAATCTCCAACAATTATTGCTTTATTCACTGCATGAAAAGTGGGATTTTCGTCCCCGTAAACTGCCGGAAATCTCCCTATTTTTCGGCAGTTAACGACAATTTACAGACTGTGAACGTCGCGTTCCACTGTGCCACATATTGACGGAAACGAACCATGACGTATGCATGCAGCGCTCGCGGAGGTGCGAATGGCCCTAATTAGCATATGAATAGCAGCACTGCGCGCGCCTTGCCAGAGAATGGCTTGAATTTCCTCACTCAGTATTGGTTGAAATTCACTACATTTAAACAAGAAAATCACTCGTGATTGGTTGGCAGATCTGTTACTATTGGTCAGCCGACATAAAATTATAATAATAATAATCATATATATATATATATATATTCATATTCATATGATATGCTATTATGTTGTTTATTCATGTCATTGTTATCCTATGGACTAAATTATTATTACCATCAAGGACATGAATTTATTGAGGAATGGAACATTTGCCACATACTGTTTATTCAAAGAAATAGCTTTATTAGAACAAACACAAAACTATGTACACAGCATAGGAGAACATCTTTCAAAGCACAGAAAACATGTCCTCCACCCTCTGGAAACATGGGACAACATACATACATACAGCACTACAGTTATACAAATAAATCAATAATATATTGCATCTCTATTCAAAAATAAATTGCCCTGAATGGCATCAGAATTGGGCACCAGATATATCAAACACAATGTACAGTGGAGCCAGAATTATGAACGAATAATAAGGATGTAATTTAAAGGTATGGTTCACTTTGAAATAAATTTTTGATATGTTTTATCTTATCTCAAGGGCATCCAAGATGCAGGTGGTTTTTTTTCCACAGTATTTTCAATTTTGATATTTTTAGGTCAAACTGTTGTTGTCTGTCAGTCATATAATGCAGGTCTATGGTCACCACCTCAAAGAGCATGCACAAAGAAGACCAAATTAAACATGATTTAATGACTCATAAATTAAGTACACAATGATTGACTAAGACACGAAATGAACGTTTTGGGAAAGAAAACAAACAGTATTTATATTGTATAAATGTGTGTGTGTGTGTGTGTGTATATATATATATATATATATATATATATTTAGATATACACAAAATGCAATACATCTTAATATGTTTAGATCTTCACAGTAAAACTTCCGAAATCTGTGTAAACAATGAGTGACGTACCAGTGCAAGATCGCTTCTGGCGGTTTCCACCGCATGCGCAGATCATATATATATATATATATATATATATACACACACACACACACACACACTGTTCATTTTCTCACACAAACCGCTCGTCTCGTATCTTAAGCCATCAACGTGTACTTACAGTTATGATTCATTAAATCATGTTTAATTTGTACTTCTCTGTGCATGCTCTTTTAAGAGATCCCCATAGACTTCCATTATATGACTGACTGATGCCCTTGACGCAAGCCAAAACATTTCAAAAAATAATTTCAAAGTGAACTATCCCTTTAAAACTCTTAATTCAAGTCCTGTAGGCTTGGCTCATTAGGGCGAAGTGAATTTAAGTCTTTGCGACGCGTGCTTGAGGTTCACCTTGATGTACATACACCTCAGTGGCTGTGGAACCGAATTTCATGACCCCTTCTGCAAAGTTGAAAAAGACAAATGATTTAGATGTATGCAAAGGCAATCTGCCCCAAGTCCCCACATTTGTAAGCAAAAATATGTTTCTTCTGCATCCACTACCTGGTTTCCTTCAGGCGATGGCGGATGTCGACCAGTAGTTTCAGGACCTTTTTCTGGAACACTGAAATAAACGAACACATTTGGTGATGTTTACAATGCTCTAATTAGAATAACAAAGTTTGCTAGCTCACAAGAGAGAAGGTGTCTATTAAAAGTGTCTTCTCCACTGCCAATAGATCAACACTTACCACCAGGTTTCAGTCACTGCATCTCCCAGTCTCAGTCACTGCATCTATACCACAAAAAAATGTGTTTTAAAAGTTATTATCAAATGATGAAACTGAACAGATTTATAAGATATTTAAAAACTTGGTCAAACATTTATAACTGAATATAACATGCCATGTTCCAGTTCTCTTTGGCGTTTTCACCACTGTCTCACGCTCAAAGTCATCTATAAACACAGACGTTAATCCAAATTAGTTTAGTTTTACTTTTTATTTGACTGGGGTCTGTTCAAAAGAAAAGAGGATGAGATCACAACACGTAACGTTACCTTATTTAGGTGTTTTTTTCTCCCATCAGCGAAGGACACCTCACTCCTAACAGCCCCTGAGAGACAAAACAAATCACAAACATCTGAAGATTTCACTCATCACACAAAGTGATGCAATTTTACAAACAAGGATAGCCTACACTAGAGCATACAAGCACATTACGCGCTTTCTTTTAGGACCCTGGCACTTATTATTTTTTCATAATTTCTGACGATATTCAGAGTAAATGAGTTAGTTTGATTACTATCAAAGAATGGTAGCTAACTTGCAGCCAGATAACAACGTGCAACCCAACGTACAGTTTAGTGTCCCAAATTTGTTCAAATTGAAATGAAACAAAAAAATAATTAAGAGCAGCAAGCTAACGCAAAACAAAAAACTGTTCCGTTAGGTTAACACCCTTGGACATTCGCGGCAGTAATCACAGCCGATTTGTGAAGTTTAAGACAAAAACGCTAAACTACCAAAAACTATAAGTAGACATGGACATAGAATTCACTAAGCTGGACGAACTTACCTTCAATTTAGAGGAAAAGATGGGTTCCCCAGCGATCATGACGGCGAAGCAGGCTGAATATCTGTGTAGTTACTTTCTGCTTAAAAAAACACGCCACATGCCTGGCACGTTGCCTCAGCCAATCAGAGTGGCTGACGTTACAGGTTGGATTATGACGATATGCTGCCTCAGCCAATCAGAGTTACGTTCACTGGTTTTTGACTCAGGTTGAAAGGCTGTCGTCGGCTGTCCTTGACTTTTCTGCTGCTGTTAGTTCATTTTAAATTAGGAATAAGGTGGATATACCTAAATAGGCTACCATGAAATGTAAAAATACATATATGCATAAATAAATAACTTTATTAGGTTACTTAAAATAAATAAACCAGTAAAAAAAATTGTAAAAAACAAAAACAAAAAACATCTGTTTATAACTGTGAATTAACATCAAAGATGTTATCATATATTTTGAAAACTGCTTCCGTAAATGTTATGATGAATCTTATAATTTTATTAGGAAAATTTCATATTCATAAGAGTAAAATGAATAATTCTAAACCTTGTTTGAAGTTTTTTTTTTTTTGGTCTAATTTTTAGTTTTCAGTATATTCTGTCTCTCAAATGTATCGATAAAAATGTAGTGATACAATTGTATTTGCTAAAGAATATTGAAGCTAATTGAAGCTAATTTTCTTTCTTTAAATAGTACAAATTACTGGTTTCTAACTTTCTCTTAAATCATAATATTATACACAATAGAGATAGTCCCTTTCCTGTTTTTATTTCATTTGTTCAATTCTGTCCTATTTTTATTTGTTTCTTATTTATTGTGAAATTATTATTTGTTGATTGTTATCTTTTTGGATGTCATGTTATTGTTGTAATTGTTGTGCATTATGTGCAATGTTAAAAAAACAACAAAAAAAAAAAAACACAGCAATTAGGTTATACTGAGCCTGATCTTGTCTTAGAATGAAGTTATACCTTTCAGAAAAATGTTACATGGGGTGAAACTCCCCTACCCTTATTTGCATGTGTATAGCTCACAGCATTTTAATTTACATGTCAAAGCCTCCTCTAGATTTAGGAGAAGGGGGGACAATGGGGGGACAACTGCCAAGCAAGGCCCACGTCAATTTCCGGCAATTCACAGCAGTTTTGAGTGTTACCTGTAAATTGCCGTGTGCAGTCGTAAACCTGAACTTCCACGACAATCTACAGTGCCGCTTACTGACGAAAATCCCACTTTTCATGCAGTGATTGACATTCACCAATAGATCTGAGAGAAAGTCTGCAAACTATTTTAGAAATTCAGCATATGGCCCTGGAGGTCTATATACAGTAGCCAGGGCTAGAGATAATATGGATTTCTTTCTTACATCTAAGAGCGTAACATTAAGCACAAGTACTTCAAATGAATTAAACCTGTGACCTGTTTTCTGAGTAACATTAAGGATATCTTTATAGATTATTGCAACACCGCCGCCACGACCGATCAGACGGGGCTCATGCTTATAACAGTATCCTGCCGGAGTAGACTCATTTAGACCGAAATACTCATTTGGTTTAAGCCAGGTTTCAGTAAGGCAAAGTGCATCGAAACTATTATCTGTGACCATTTCATTTACAATAACCGCCTTAGGTGTGAGCGATCTAATGTTTAGAAGACCTAGCTTTAGAAATTGAAATTGAGTTTCCCATCAAAGCATCTAGCTGTAACATTCTAACACTGTACCATTTCACTCTGTGCAAGTTTGGCACCGCGATGCGGGATTAACAGCACAAAAGGACTAATCATTGTACGGACCAGAGTTTCATTACTTCATTTAAGAAGTGGTGCTAATCTCACTTCTTAATTAATAATGTGATTTTTTTCCCCCCAGGGTTAAAAGCAGGGGTTAGAACCTCTGTAATCAGAGGTTAATTGCAGCATTGAAAAATGTTGATTGTGAAAATTGGAATACAAATGAAATTCAAAAATACGTAACAGAGATTCAGACTGATACAAGGACCCTTCCTGATCCTGTTCCTTTCTCTCCCATCTTTGTGTCACAGAACTATCAATAAATAAGGCCAAAAGTCTAACAAAACTAAAACAAATAATTTCAAATGACACTATTCAGCTAACAATACTTTTTTTCTCTAAAGGATTGTATAAACAAATAAATAAAACATAAAACAAGAGCTTTGTTGCCTAGTGTGCTTGCACACACAAGGAATTTGTTTTGGTGCTGTGGCTTCCAGTGCACATATACAAATACAACAAGAAACATAGTAATACTGTCACGACAGATAGTGGAGAATTGGGTGGATCCAAATGCAGCAATAGTATAGTCTGGGCAATCCAAGTCATCGTCATCCATGCAAGCGTCATAATCCAAACAATCAGAATCGTTGTCATCCATGCCAGTGTCGAAATCCATTTTGATCAGTCCGAATGATAATATTACAAAACAAGCAAAAACAAAACCAGAACAGACCAGAAACAAACCTCAGCGTTACAGCGTGACAAACAATACAATGACTCTGTGGCAAGGACAGAAACAGACTCCGTATTTATACACATAAATAAACAATGCAATTAGAAACAGCTGTGTTCAATAATGAGTGATGAGAAAAGACAAAGGATCGTGGAAAATGCAGTTCCAGAGTAAATGGTGACAGTATGGGGGAAGAGACCTCTAGTGGACACTAAGAGAAACACAAACCAGACCCTGTGACCAATACAAATTATAATAATAATAATATAGTTCATGAAATATGCAGTCGTGTGAATCTGGAGTTGAAGTTGGTTAACCAAGGAAGTTGTACGATCTGGTGGGAACACCAGCATGCCTTTTAATCAGAGTCCTCTCTTTTTTCAGATTAGCAAACTGTAATCTCAGTGATCAGCAGTGTGAAGTTGTGGCTTCAGTTCTACAATCATCAAACTCCTCCCTGAGAGAGCTGGACCTGAGTAACAATGACCTGCAGGATTCAGGAGTGAAGCTGCTCTCTGCTGGACTGAAGAGTCCAAACTGTCAACTCAACAAATTGAGGTATTTAAGGGGATTTCAACTGGGGATTTCAACTGTGCAAAATAATAGTAAGGTGTTATGTATAATATAATATAATATTATAATATTCTATGCAAGTGACTTAATAGTTCATATTAAGGATAGTTCACCCAAAAATTAAGTAATAATCTCAAAAACCCCGCTTACACCCATTCACATAATGGGAGTGAATAGCGAACCGCATCAGGCTAAAAAAGAGGCAAAAGTGTCACCGAATGGTCCCATGTAACACGTGCCATATATTTCAAGTGTTCCAAAATTTATTTTTTTAGTTAACCCTCAGGTGCTTTTCGTTTCGGAGTCACACTTGTTATCTTCACGGTCAAAAGTGACCTGACACCTAAAAATGAAACTTTCTCCATCCCAGTAAAACCAATGCAATTTTATTTTTGTTCTATAATATTTATTCTTTTTAAAGGGACTCTGTGTAGATTTTTAGGTATTTTATTATCTGAAATCAATATTTTTATTCATAAATATGTCCTCAATGGTGTACAAATACCTCTGCAAATTATCTGACTTATCCTCGTAAATGAAGAATTTATTATCTTTATGTACATGGGACGGGTAGGTTCACGGAGGCTTCCATGTCCGTTCCGCCATCTTGAAAAACTATAATAGCAGAGAGGGTCAAAAAGTACCACCAGCCAAACGCGTTTCCACAACGCGTTTTCGTTCAGACTCAGAGCCATCGCCACGTCACATTGAGAGGCGCATTCCCTGCAAGTTTAAACGGCTGCATTGCACTCCTATGATTGCTGATTGCTCTATTATGGCGGACCATATGCCGAGTCACAGGAGAATGCATCCTCCTCGCAAAAAAAAGGCCAGACTTGAACGAAAAAGGAAACGTGACCGGAGATTGCAAAAAACAAGGCCATTAATTTTTCCGTCATAAAATTAATCGGATCGGGTTCGATTTTCTGCGTTTTTCGCATCCAGAGCCAGCATTTTGAGAGGTCTTTTGACAATTCAGGGCCGGGGGAGCTCGTCCTCAAATCATTGCACATATGCGCCGTGCTTTCAGTTTCGGTTTTCAATTCGATCAAGTGTTTATGTTCTCTTATGAAATTAATAAACCTCCCCTTTCAATCAGATTGAAATTTAGGATCGAATAAAGTGTGATTGAGCAGCCTATTCGATAACTAATGTATTATTTGGGCACAATATATACACAATACACAATAACAGCCTAGCTGTTGTCTGCCCAGCGCTTCCACCGGGCCGCGCGCGGGTGTGTGTGTGTTTGTGTGTGTGTCCATACCTGGTCCATACCAGACACACTGCCAGTCTCCGTTCAGAATCGATTGGTTCACGGAAATTGGTGGTCTTGTTTTTAATATGTGGCTCCAGAATCGCTAGCAAAGCATCAAACTGTCCCACTGACATTCTGAGGTAAATTTTGAATCGCTCAGGATAAATTCGCAACTCCTTGATAAGGAACTCCTTCCTCTCGGCGCAATTTCAGGATTGGATGGATATTTTCTCTTTCTTCTCTTTTCAATATGAGAGAGGGCAAAAATCATCCTCACTGCTTGACGAATCCATTCGGTATTTTTGCGTTTTTTCCCGCAAAAGTTTAATAAATACGCAACGGACTCGGTGTGCAAGATTTCTATGCGTGACGAATTTTTAGGCTGATGTACACGAAAATACGCATACGAAAATTTCGTACTCAGTGTGCAATGGCCTTAAATATCGGGATAGCGTTTTCAACCGTGGAAAGAGCTAATGCAGCAGAAAGATTTCAGAAGAGACGCTGAAGTTGCCTGCTTTCTCCTCGACAGGTTAGTCAATGTTACAGTCTTAATTAATTTTTTTGTCATTGCTTGGTTGTGTACTTTATTATATAGACAGTATAACATTTATAGGTAAAAAAGTTAAACAAGGTCTTTGATGAAAAGCAGCTATTGACTACTTTACTCGCAGCTATTGTGAAGTAAGGTGCTAAAAACAAGGTTAAGTTAATTCTTTATAACCTATAAATTCAGTAATAATAGAGATAATGATTGTAAGAAAATATTGAAGAAAATATTGCTCTCTGTAAGATTTTCTATAGCTTTCTTTTTTTAATATAAATGATCAATTAGCTAAAATTGGGATTTTGCTATGTGGATAAGATTGTACAGAGAATTAAAATTAATTTATACAGCTAGACACATAAATTGTACATAAGTTAACACATAAGTTGCTGTTTTTTTTAAGTTACAAACCTGTTCACCCGGAGAAAAACTCGATGAAGTGTTACTACAAGACATCCTGTCATAGCATTTTTGGTACATAACGGCAACCGTAGATGCAATACGCACTTGAAAAAGCGAAGCGCTGGAGAGAAAAATTCGTTTGGATGCAAAATACAATTTAACCACTAGATGGGGGTAATTCCTACACAGAGTCCCTTTAATTTAGTATTTTGAGACAATTTAGTTGAATTTATTAATATTTATGCAATATTTATGGTTTATTTTTGCCATGGAAAAATATATTCTGTATATTTTTCTATATATATATATTATTTTTTTCAAAAAAATATTAATGCAGTATTTTAGTTTAATATAGAGTCTAGGCCTTCAGAAAAACCATCTGGTTACAGTATAGAGAAAAAACGTAGAATCATGGTGTAACCACTAGATGGCATGATGTACAGCTCTCTATGGAGAGGCATGTGAATTCCCCAGCTGTTTATGAACACATTTTTTGTTGTTGTTGGTGATAACGAGACTTCTATACGATTTCCACAACGCATGCGCGAGAACTGAACTGAAGTAGTCGAAGGAGATCGCAATTCTCGCGCATGCGGAAATCGTATTGAAGTCTCGTTTCAGGCCAACAAGGAAGAAAAGGAATAGTCGAATAAAGTCGTTATTTTTGTTTGTTTTTTCGCACAAAAAGTATTCTCGTCGCTTGATAAACTTATAGTTGAGCCACTGTAGTCACATGGAATATTTAAACATTTTCTTCATTGACTTTCTGGGCCGACAAGAGTCATTCCCTTAGGAGCCTATGTGGTAGTTATACAGCTCTCAAATTTAATCAAAAATATCTTCATTTTTGTTCCGAAGATGAACGAAGGTCTTACGGGGTTGGTACAGCATGGGGGTGAGTAATTAATGACATAATTTTCATTTTTGGGTGAAATAACCCTTTAACTATAGCATCCAAATTATTACTGTGTAATAATATGACCATTGTAATCGTGGTCAGTTTTGAAATTGGGTAATCTCAACATCACTAATTGCAATCAATCAGAGGTCCTTGTAAAGATAATTGATGGGTTAAAGAGCCATGTTGTTTCTGTAAAATTCTCTAAAAAAAAGAGAGAGAGCATACTAACATTAACACTTCCTATTGTTGTAGATTATCTCAGTGTTTGGTGACAGAGGAAGGTTGTGCTGCTCTGGCATCAGCTCTGAATTCAAACCCTTCACATCTGAGAGAACTGGATCTGAGCTACAATCACCCAGGAGAATCAGGAGTGAAGCTGCTCTCTGATATAATGAAGCATCCAGACTGCACACTGGACAAACTCAAGTAAGTGGATCAGTAAGAATCATCCTGTCTGGTGTGTATGTGAGACTGAGAGTTTTTGATAGTTTTTGAACACTGAATGGGTCCCAGTGTGTTAAAAAGTGTGTTAAATGGCTCGTTTCCACTGAGGGGTACAGTACAGTACAGTACGGGTCGGGTCGGGTACACCATGATCAGGCATGCGTTTCCACCGCCAACAGTACCCTTACTTGATAGGCGTGGTATGCTGGAAAGAAGCGATCGACGTCATTTTTGCGCGAAGAAAGCGACATAGTAAACAACAATGGATGACAGACAGCAGATCTTGTTCTTGCTTCTCAGCATGTTTGTCACTAGAAACAAGCGCTGGCATTAGGCGTTTCCAAGAAGCCAACGCAAAGTCCGACTCAGAATGATCCAGAGGACGCGAGTCCAGTAATTCTGTTTATGGAACAGCGCATTCTTGAACGCGGCACTCAGCTCGCTCTGGCTCTGCGACTCCGGTTATCTCTGTATGTTCATTTTAGGCAACAATAAAACGAAATATGTTATAAAACACCACTCTGCTTCTTTTCGATTTCATTTCAATACATTTTAAACATTCTAAAGCACACAAATGTGGTTCAGGCAACGCATCCTATTGATTATATTCACTGTGTGTAGCCTATGTTATTTATAACAAAACTAAGTATAAAACAACCCTGCCTCTTTTCGTTTAAATTTAAAAATATTAAACATATTCCAGGCAATATGTAGGCCTAGTGTAATGTATTGCATATCGCATTGGTACAAATGTTGCAATAAACAACATTACAGATGATCTTGTAATAAAATAAAAAATGACAAAACTATCTCTTTTTGTTGAATTTCAGTTTTATCAATAATAGACATTATAAAAGTATAAGTAAAAGGTACAAAAAAAAACATGCTTGTGCGCACCAGGGAAGCCTGCTATATTCAGAAATGTCCTCATCCGTACTCCTAACAATTTTGACCTTAAGACCTCTTTTAAGGGTTAAGATTCTTTCTGAATTACTTTTTTCTTTACTAGGATTTTTTCTTTAAGTTTAAGAGTAAACACCCACATTTCTAAGAATTTTCTTAGAATTTTGTCACTAGGAGCTACTTTTTGCATTAAGATTCTTTATGATTACGGGCCCTTATTTTTTTCAATGTGTCCGCAGTGTGAACAACAAAGGTGGATTTAATGCGACTCTGACGTCAATCTACATCTGACATTTGACACAATTATGCGCCGGCGAGGAAGCACTAGACACAACAGACACAGACAGTAACATTAAAAACTTGAATACATATGGAGAACAATGATGGAGCGAGTCACTGGAGGGAGAGTGAGGTGTTAGACCTAATTAATATACAGTATGGGCTAATTAATAAGTAGCCAATTTTGCTTTCTTTCTCTTCATTCTTCTCCTCATCATCACCTGCTCATTAATTTTACGGCTTCCATTACACAGACATTTAGAAATAAAAGCGTAAATGCTTACTTCCTCCATAACCACACGAACATTAGTGCAAAGGTGTGCTGCGTATGATGTCATTGTTGTTCTTTTGCGCATGCGGGTTAGTTTGAAACATGCAAACAGTTCACATTAGAATCAGATATAGGTCACATTTTAAAAGGTAATGTGAACAGCCAATAAGAGACCTCCATCTTACAGCGATCACCCAAACAGATAACCTTCTCAAACATGTCTGTGTACCCATTTATGACACGGCGCATGTGTAAGAGAGGTTATTTTAAAAATGTATTTTTAAACTTTATTTCACAGTCAATTTACAAATAAATAAATAAATAAATCCCCATCACAGTACAGAGAAATGTTATTATAACAGCACAGCATTTCAAAAGATCTCATATTGTTCATTGCTACAATGTTAAAGATCAACAACATTCCTAGACATAAACATGAACAGCCACGATTGTTGTTTTGAAAGTAATTTTCAGACTTGTTTGTTTTTTCACCAATACAAGCTTTGGCCTTCAAACAGTATCACTTCTCACATTTATTAAATCTGTAACAAAACATTGTTAATTATGTATATTAATCATGATCACGGTTTCTGCTTCTCTCAATAATGCAGAACAGCCCACTGATTATTTATCCTGAAAACATTTTTTTAATTAGGGCCCAAGCCCTGAAAGGGCGAAGGCCCTATTGTTTTCCTTGGGATTATTATTCTTTAGTATTATTAGGGCCCAAGCCCTGAAAGGGCGAAGGCCCTATTGTTTTCCTTAGGATTATTCTTTTCTATTATTATTAGGGCCCAAGCCCTGAAAGGGCGAAGGCCCTATTGTTTTCCTAACGATTATTATTAGGGCCCAAGCCCTGAAAGGGCGAAGGCCCTATTGTTTTCCTAACGATTATTAGGGCCCAAGCCCTGAAGGGGCGAAGGCCCTATTGTTTTCCTTGGGATTATTTATTATTCTTCTTCTTCTTTTTATTTTTCTGCTACCTTTTGGGCATTTTTGGGGCCCTTAACATGCTCGAAAACTCTTGAAACTTTGCACACGGGTCAGAACCCGCGGCCATCAGAGCCGGGCTGAAGATGGTACCCGGGCGTGGCAGGGCGGCTCGTCAGCGCCCCCTGGAACGGGGTCCGAACACTTGGTCCATAACTCAAACACGCTTGTATGTAATAATATGAAACTCGGTACACATGTTGATCTCATCGTTTCATCTATACCTCGCGCTCTTACTTTTTACCCCAGCTCAACAGGAAGTCGGCTATTGAGGTTTGTTTGTAAAACGCTCGCAATGGAATGTCAAATACTCCTCCTAGAGCTTTGATCCAAATTCGACTAAAACTCAGTCAGCGTGAAGTCAAGACATTGAGGATGAAAGTTTGCGAGGGGATTTTTGATATCTCGAACGGTTTGTCCGTGGCGAGGAAACGAAATCATGGCGAGAAACGTGAAACAGGAAGTGTGTTATAACTTCAGCATACATTAACTGATCTTGATGAAACTTCAGCAGTGTGTTCGCTGTAAGAGGACGATCACATGGATGTGACTATTGTGAGTCAAAGTTATAGCGCCACCAACTGGCAGCAGGAAGTGTGTCACTTTCAAAATGCTTTGATATCACCCTTTTATTTTTACCCGATTTGCTTCAAACTTCATCTGTATAATGTAAACATACGATAGATGTAGACCTGTGAATGGATTCTTGATATCTTTGAAACTGTTGCCGTGGCGACGCATCAAACTTTACCCTTCTTTTAGGATGCTTTTAGGATGCTTTTGAGACCCTTAGCATGCTTCAAAATGCATGAAACTCGACAGACACATCACATTTATTAGCCAGTAGACATGTGCAAAGTTTCAGAAACGGGCGTGGTGAGGGCTCAGTAGCGCCACCTTTTGACAAAAGTGGGGTTGTTAGTTTTAACTAGAGTTACAAAAATTGGTATGTATATTGTACTCCTCGAGCCGGACAACTTTCTAATTTACACTTATTAGCTAGGACCCACAGAAACTCAGATATTTTTGTTTGAATATGGTCACTCTGAGCCTACATGTCTCTGTGTCTTTGGCTGGCTGGCTGGCTGTCTGTGTGTGTGTGAGTGTGCAGGGGGAGGGGGCTTAACCATTTCACTGCTGTGTGTATGACCTGCATAAAGAAAATACATTTCTCAAGCCTGGTATTTTTTAAATAAGTTTTTATTTTTATTTTTTATAAGTAAAGACATATAACTAGTTTAATTGTAGTGCATTGACAATAGTTTTATATAATTAGTTTATTAATCAGATTAACTTGGTCAATAAACTTGGTCTGAAAATTTGGTCCATAAATCAAACACACTTGCATGTAATAATATGAAACTTGGTACACATATAGATCTCATCGTTTCATATATAGCCTACTTCACACTCTTACTTTTTACCCCAGCCCAACAGGAAGACGGCTATTTAGGGTTGTGTTTAAAACACATGCAATGGAATTTAAAGTATTGCTCCTAGAGCACTGAACCAAATTCGACAAAACTCGATCAGCGTGAAGTCAAGACATTAAGAATGAAAAGGTGCCAAGGAATTTTTTATATCTCGAACGGTTTGGCCGTGGCGAGGAAACAAAATTATGGCGAGAAACATGAAACAGGATGTGTGTTATAACTTCAGCATACATTAACTGATCTTGATGAAACTTCAGCAGTGTTTTCGCTGTAAGAGACCGATCACATGGATGTGACTATTGTGAGTCAAAATTATAGCGCCACCAACTGGCAGCAGGAAGTGTGTCACTTTCAAAATGCTTTGAAACCAATCTCTTATTTTTAACCGATTTGCTTCAAACTTCATCTGTATAATGTAAATACACGGCAGATGTAGACCTGTGAATGAATTTTTGATATCTTTGATACTGTTGCCGTGGCAACGAATCGAACTTTAACATTCTTTTTTGATGCTTTTGGGACTCTTAGCATGCTTGAAATTGCTTGAAACTCAACAGATACATCACATTTATTAGCCAGTAGACATGTGCAACTATGGCAAAAGATTAAAGTAATGTCAAAAAAGTAAACACTAAAAGCCTCATATCTTCTAAAAATGTAATTATACATCATTTGTTTCTAAATTAAATTATACAAATATTATAACTTCCCCAATTTTTCCTTTTTTTCATTTAAGAATTATGTTTACGTTCAAAAACAGCCATAATTGTTGTAAAATTCATAAAAAAATAATAATCTGAGTCATACGTAGTGCTATACTGCCCTCTTGTGTTCAATATCAGGTAGGCCTATTGTGTATATTCCCACCGGTTAATCAACGTGTGACTCCGCTGGGACTTGGGAGCTTTTAAATCGCTTACTTAAAATCGAAAGTCGAAATACGGATGTCCGCACAAGACATTAATGGTGTGGAGTAGAGCGAGCATTTTAAATAAATTCCTATTAAGTAGGATTGAACTAAACAGAAAGAATGTTCACTCTGTTCTGCTGGTTCCTCGCTGGTGGATCATATGATTACTTTGTCATAATCTATGACAAAAATGCTATTATAAACCATATTAATAATAGATAATACACATTGCTCTTATTT